CAGAAGGATGCCGTTCGGCCTCTGAATAAGGATATAGTCAAATTTGTTGCAAAATGTTTAAACTACCAAAAGGTGAAAGAAGAACATCATACACCAATTGGGTTGCTACAACCTTTATAATTTTCACTGTGGAAATGAGATTCTATTGCTATAGATTTTGTGACAGGACTTCCAAGGGCGAAGTTGGGGACAAATGCAATTCGAGTGATTATAGATAAATTGACCAAGTCAGCAGTGTTCATCCCAATACGTATGACTTGGAGTATGCAGAAGTTGGCCAAATTATATGTTTATCATATGGTTAAATGACACGGTATTCCTGAGGTAATCATATCGGATCGTGATCCACGTTTTCAATCTCAATTTTGGCAAAAGTTGCAGGAAGCCTTTGGTACTCGGTTGCATATAAGTACTGCATTCCATCCAATTATTGATGGTCAATCAGAGAGAATTATCCATATTCTTGAAGACATGCTAAGAGCTTGTGCAATAGAATTTCAAGGAAGTTGGGAGGACCACTTGGATTTAGTGGAATTCTCATATAATAATAGTTATCAAACAAGTATTGGAATGGCTTCTTTTGAAGCTCTTTATGGCCAAAAAATGCAGGACTCCTTTAAGTTGGGATGACATAAATGATCGACTGGTATTAAGTCCAGAAATGATCGAAGAATCAAAAAATAAGATTCGAGTTATCAGAGAGAAAATGAAGACAGCTCAAGATCGCCAAAAACGTTATGACGATAAAGCCCGACGTAAGGGTCAATTTCAAAGTGGAAATTTCATCCTGGTGAAAGTATCTCCAATGAAAGGTATTAGAAGATTTGGAATTAAAGGAAAATTGAGTCCGTGTTATGTTGGACCCTATGAAATCATCGATCGAGTTGGGGATTGGGCTTATCGGTTAACACTTCCAAATTCCATTGAATGAATTCATAATGTGTTCTATGTATCACAGCTTCGTAGGTATGTCGCAGATCTTTCTCATATTTTATCTCCGGATGAGTTAGAGCTAAATGAGGATCTTTCGTATGAGGAAATGCCTTTTCGGATCATGGACACAAAGGTTTAAACTATGAGGAACCGAGATATTCGTATGGTGAAAGTAATGTGGTCCCAACATGGAGCGGAAGAGGCCACGTGGGAAGTAGAACAATAGATGTTCAAAGCATACCCACATTTGTTTAATTAAGTAGTGTTGTTATGCGTTTGAATTTAAATTTTGGGGATGACATCTTTTTAAGGGGGAGTAAATTGTAATGCCCCGATTTCGAAGTGTATAAAATAATATTATTATAAAAAATAAATATTTTATAATATTTTGCGATCAAAAAATTAATAGTTTGAAATAAATTTTATTTCTATTTTGTATATTGATTATAATTATAAATACTATTAAATTGATAAATATCGATAAGGATAAGTATAAAATATAATATATATTAATATAATAATAATGATGATGATAGAGATTGATTATGATAATGTAAGTAAATAATATAATAACGTTGATAATAATAATATAATATAATATATATTAAAAAAGAAACAAGTAAAATTTACCAGCGAAGGAAAACAAACATGCGTACAGGGAGAAGAGGTGGAAGAAAGAAAAAAAAAAAAAGAAAAAGATTTAGCCGTTCGATTTCAATTCTGACTTTGGTATTGTATTCTTTGTTATACGAAGAGTTTAATTATGGATTTTAATATGAATTTAGACCTTAAAGATATTAAATTAGAAATTCTTCAAAAATTTATAATAGGCTATTTGGTTATGTAATCGATTAATTTCTTTAGCTGATAGCCTATACGTAGTCTTAGTGTTATATTCTGAGAATTTCGTATCGATCCGAGCCGAATTGAAAATGACAGTATATTGCACCTGCCTGTTTATTCATATCTTTAAGTATTTTTATTTAATAATTGAGCGATATAAATATTATGAAGTATAAGAATTTTATAGCTAGAATATCATATTCTACTTAATATAAAAGTTTGAAACCGGACGAGCTAATTATAGAAATTAGCTTTTGAATAAGCAGATAGCTTCTATGATAAGAATATAGCTCATCTGATTTGAATAAATAATAGAACAGGTGTACGTTGGAGCAGATTTGGGTGAGATTGAAAGCTACAGAGTGTCGATAAGAGGTAAGCAGTAGGAAATTAAATTTAATTTTAAGAAAATAAGTATGCATGTTGCATGCGATTCTGATTAATATGCTAATATGATATATATATATGTGCGTATGCATGTGTGAGACTTCGCATTTTATGATATTTGATATACGTATTTGATCGTGTTTGTGAATTTATTAAAAGGAGGAGAGGTGAGCTGTCTCACCAGCCCTTTTCGGTAAATTCACTTATTTGACATGTTGCACACATATTGCACGGTTTATTGGATATGTTTTATGGATCTATCGTTTAGTCGTCGTGTGAGGTAATGCTAGGCGAGGGCATCATCTGGGGTTAGGATATTCGACCTCAATGTACCGTAACACTTTGGCGATAGTGGCGATAGTAGTCGGACAACTGGGTGACTTAGTCGCACAGTCATTTAGGGATTAGACCCATTGTAGTTGAGACGTATTTGGTCTAATTATTCGTGTTCGGTGTTGTTCCACTCATTGAATTGATCTATAGTGAGGTCTACCGGTAGTTTAGGATTATATGTCAAACTCCAAACGTGATCACGTTAGGGCGCGCGATGAAGAGTAGAGTTTCCGGGTTTCCCTTGGGTGATTCCAGGTTGCACGAATTCTACTACATTACACGGGATAGAGCTAGTCAATGGGGGTCCTATCTTCGCTATCACAGACTATGAGGCGTCTTGTGGTTAATGGCGACAACGTTCGGCTATCCATGTATTGATGGTGGGAGTCATATGGTAGGTATATGGAAGTAACCGGATGACCGTTATATTATTATAGGTTTATCAGGTCCTTCCTTGAGCCGAGAATTTTCCGACTATTTATTGATGATGGTCTAGTGAGCTTGTTATTACGGGGCCGAAGTTATTCCGGCTGCTCACTTAGACAGATGCAGTGAGCCTATTATTATGGAGCCGGGGTTATTCTGGCTGCTCACTTCGGCGGATGTATATATATATATGTGCATGTGCATTGTTGTCGAGTTTGATATCTTTGTTGCATCATTTCACTATTGGCAAGACATGACACGTATTTTATGATTGACGGAGATTAGACTTTATTTTAAAAGGTATGACATAACATATTTCACGTTAGTTCTTAAAATGGATTTAATTTTATACTGCTTTTAAGAAAAATATTAGGTTCAGGTATGCATGGCACCTTCGGGACAGGGGACGTCTCGGGATATAGAAAGACGGGCTGAATGAGTGAACTTATATCAATTGTATTATATGTAAATTTTTAACCGGAAAAACGGGAGTGTATTTTGTAAATGTTCATAAATCAGATTTTTTTTATATGATAATGCGCTTTTTTTGGACCTAATATCAGTCGATCACTCATACCATCCCAACTTAAAGAAGTCTTGCATTTTCGGCCATAGAGAGCTTCAAAAGGAGTCATTCCAATACTTGTTTGATAACTATTATTATATGAGAATTCCACTAAATCCAAGTGGTCCTCCCAACTTCCTTGAAATTCTATTGCACAAGCTCTTAGAATATCTTCCAGAATATGGATAGTTCTCTCTGATTGACCATAAGTCATTGGATGAAATGTAGTAATCATATGCAACTGAGTATCAAAGGCTTCCTGCAACTTTTGCCAAAATCGAGATTGAAAACGTGGATTACTATCCGATATCATTACCTCAGGAATACCGTGTCGTTTAACCACATAATGGACATATAATTTGGCCAACTTCTACATACTCAAAGTCATACGTACTGGGATAAACACTGCTGACTTGGTCAATCTATTTATAATTAGGGATGGCAATGGGTCCGGGTAGACCCGAGACCCGACCCGGACCCGACCCATTTATTTGGGGTCGGGTCCAAATATTTGGGTCTAGGGTCGGGTCTGGGCCTAGATGAAAAAAAAAAATTAAGGGTCGGGTCGGGTCCAGGGTCCAAGCATGGACCCGACCCACACCCGGAGCCGGACCCGACCCGCAGTTTAATTAAAAAAAAAAATTGAATTATATTTTATTTTCCCAAACCTAGCAGCGCAACCTCTCCCCTCTTTTTTTCTCACGCAGCCTCTCCATTATATTTTTCTCACGACAGCCCCTTCCCTCTTTTTTCCTCACGACAGCCCCTCTCCTCTTTTTTCCTCACGAGTCACGACAGCCCCTCCCACAGTCCCACGCAGGCCGCAGGGACGACACCATCACGGTAAGTTTATTTTGGTGTGTGAGATTTTTTTTTTTTATTTGTTGGGTTTTTGGTATAAAAAAAATTAAAAGTAAATGGATGAAAAAATATATTCTTTTTTTTGTTCAGTTTGAGTTCTAAATTTCAACAACGATTGTTAAGAAGAAATTTTTGTTAAGGTTGAGTTCGAAATCCAGGTGGTGATTGAATTTTTTTTATCTGTCCGGTTGATTCAGTTTTGAATCAAGATGGTGTTTAATTTTTTATTATTATTATTATTATTATTATTATTATTATTATTATTATTATTATTATTATTATTGTGAAATTTTTCGTTGTCTGCTTGTTGTTACTGTCCATTCACATTAGTACATTTAATAATAAAAAAAAAATTGATAATTTGATAGTTCATAATGTTATTAATCTATTTGGTATAAAAATTAGAAATTAATTCAAATGCAGTGTTTCTTAAATTCAAATTATGTGTTGTCTGTTGTCTTCTCTGTTGCCTATGCAATTTTTTTTAAAACTTAATTGATAATTCATAGTTCTCAAGTGCATTATTTTGTTATTTTGTAGATGGATTCCGAAGGAGCTGACAATTCTATTCCGTCAGTTAGCAGTATTCAGGAAAATATGAATACACAAGAAACTCCGGAAGAAAATACTAATAATGATAGTTTGGAAACTAATGACTCTACCGATTGTAAAAGAAAAAAGGACATTGGAATGGTGGGATCATTTTGAAAGGAAAAAGATTGATGATATGATATATGCAGAATGCAACTATTGCAAAGCCCGTCTCAAAGCACCGAGTGGTTATGGAACGACAAATTTGAAGAAGCATTTTGAAAAAGTTTGTAAAAAAAGACCAAGGAAAATGGACATTCGACAAAGTGTTATGATGATGGGAAGCAAAAAACTTGGTGGAGGTCAAGCACTTGAAACCCATGTGTTTAATCAAGAAGATTCAAGGCATGATCTTGCAACAATGGTGATTTTGCATGATTATCCATTGACAATGGTCGATCATATTGGTTTTCGAAGATTTCTTGGTAATCTTCAACCATGTTTTAGCATGATTACAAGAAACACTTTGAAAGGTGACATTTTTAAGATTTATGAGGTTGAAAAAAACAAGTGTTATGAGATATTGGACAAGCTTAATAGTCGAATTGCTATCAAAACGGACATGTGAACATCAAGCAATAATAAGAAAGGATTTATGTCAATTACTAGACATTATATTGATGACTCTTGGACTTTGAAGAATGTCATTTTTAGGTATATTTAGTTATTTACTTAAAAATAATTTTTTTATTTTGGTATTTTTGTATTTTTGTTGTATAGATAATTGAAACTTACGAACAATTCTTTTATTTCATAGGTTTGTTTATGTACCGGCTCCTCATACCGCCGAAGTCTTATCAAGTGTCCTCATTTTGTCTTTGATGGACTGGAATATTGATCGGAAATTATCAACTATTACGGTTGATAATTGTACTACCAATGATTCGATGATTCAACAAATTTTGGGGAAACTGTCATCAAAAGATATGCTAATGGATGGAAAGGTACTTCATATGCGTTGCTCTGCACATATTTTAAATTTGATTGTTAGAGATAGGTTGGAAATAATTAGTGGTGCAATTGAAAAAGTGCGTGATAGTGTGATTTATTGGACTGCTTCACCTTCTAGAATTGAGAAATTTGAAGAAGCTGCTCGTCAATTGCATATTAATTGTTCTAGAATGTTAGTCATGGATTGCAGAACTCGTTGGAACTCTACTTATTTGATGTTAGAAACAGCTATTATTTATAAAGATGTGTTCCCACGACTTAAATGCCGAGAGAGAAATTACAGTAGTGAGCCAAGTAATGAGGATTGGGAAATTGCAATTGAAATATGTGAAAAGTTGAAGATTTTCTATCAGGTGACAGAGTTGTTTTCTGGAACTCTTTATCCTACATCAAATTTTTATTTTGCTCATATATGTGAGATAAAATCAAAATTAGATGAATGGGTTAAGAGTTCAAATGTATTGGTTCAAGAAATGACAAAAAAAAATGCTTGCCAAGTATGAAAAATATTGGAGTGATTGTCATATCATGTTGGGGGTTGCTGCTGTATTGAATCCTAGGTACAAGTTGAAGTTAGTTGAATTTTATTTTAATCTGATATATGGTGATGAAGCTGAGATTAAAGTTAATCAAGTTCGTCAAAATTGTTATGATTTGTTGATTGATTACCAATCTAGAGCCACGTCTTCTACGGATATGAGCTCGGTGGTTGATGTTGGAATGTTGGATTTGGGGGGTGCGATAACTCGCAATGTTGTTTCCGCTGATACATTTGATCTAGATCCATTGAAGAAATACGATCAATTTGTGGCAAGTATGAATGATTCTTCTAGGATTTCTACGATGTCGGAGTTGGATATTTATTTGAAAGAAAGCGTTTTACCGAAAACACCAAATTTTGATATATTAGGTTGGTGGAAGATGAATGGAGTCAAGTATCCTTACTTACAGAAGATGGCAAAGGATATTTTGGCTATTCCGGTTTCTACGGTTGCTTCCGAATCTACGTTCAGTAATAGTGGAAGAATTATTAACCCTCATCGTAGTAGACTTAATCCTTCTACTTTGGAAGCATTAGTATGTGCTCGACATTGGTTATGGAACGAAGCAAATTGTAAGTTAATTTTAATATATTTTTAATTAATATATTTATATTTTATTATATTGTAAGACTTATATTATTTGTTGATTTATTATTTTAGGTGGTAATTTGACTTCCGAATGCACAAAAGTATTTGACGATGAAGAAGAAGATGACGATGAACAATGAAGATTGTTGTTATTTTACGTTGTGATTGATGACTTGTGTTAATGTGTTAAGATTTTTTACGATGGATGCACAAAAGATTACATGTTTGGTTATTATATATCATAATATGCAATATTTAATTTTATTTTTATTTGGATTGAATTATTACTGTTGTTGTTGCTCATTATTTGTTGTTATTTTTCAAAAAAAAAAAATTTAAAAAAATAGTTAATTTTTTTGCCGGGTCTGGGTCTGGGTCCGGGTCCTGTTTATATTTAAAATTCTAAAACTATCGGGTCTGTCGGGTCCAATCGTGTAGTTTCGGGTCGAGTCCGGGTCCAACCGGGTCTGATCCGGGTCCGGGGTCCATATATATTTTTCGGGTCGGGTCTTGGGTCTGGTCAGACCCGACCCAGACCCGACCCATTGCCATCCCTATTTATAATCACCCAAATTGCATTTGTTCCCGACTTCGCTCTTGGAAGTCCTGTCACAAAATCCATTGCAATAGAATCTCATTTCCATAGTGGAACTTCTAAAGGTTGCAGCAACCCTATTGGTCTATGATGTGCTGCTTTCACATTTTGGCAGTTTAAACATTGTGCAATAAATTTGGCTACATCCTTCTTCATGCCCTTCTACAAAAAATTTTGACGTAAGTTTCGATACATTTTAATCCCTCATGGATGCACTTAATATGGTGTATTATGAGCCTCACTCATAATTTGCTCCTTCAAATCACTTCAGTCCTTTGGGATACACCACCTTCCATGGAATCGAAGATTCCCATATGAAGCAATATTAAAGTTGAGTCTGACCGTACTGAACTTTAATAGCCAGCTCGACCATCTTATTATCTTCCATTTAAGCTGCTCTAATGTGATCATAAATTTCAGGCTCAACTTGCATCATTTGCAAATATCCCTGTGTATAAAATAATATTATTATAGCAAATAAATATTTTTATAATATTTTGGGATCAAGAAATTAATATTTCATAATAGATTTTATTCCTATTTTGTATATTGGTTATAATTATAGAGATTATTAAATGATAAATATCGATAAAAAAAGAATAAATTATCTATAATATAATATAATATAATAATAGATAAGATAAGGATGATGATAACGATGATAATAATAATAATAATAATAATAACGTTAATAATAATATAATTATATATATAAAACAGACAAATCTTACCTGCGAAGGAAGGAGGCAGAAGAAACGCACGAAAGGAAAAAGAAGAAAAAGAAGAAAAAAAATAGAAAAAGATTTAGTCGTCTGATTTTGATTGCGGTTTCGGTATTGTATTATTTGTTATACGTAGAGTTTAACTATAGATTTTAATATGAATTTAGATATCGGAGATATTAAATTAGAAATTCTTCAAAAATTCATAACGGCTATTGGACTATTTAATCGACTAATTTCTTTAGTTGATAGCCTATTCGTAGTCATATCATTATATTTTGAGAATTTCGTATCGATCCGAGCCGAATTGAAAACGGCGGTACTGCACCTGTCTGTTTATTCATATCTTTAAGTATTTTTATTTAATAATCGGGCGATATAAATATTATGAGGTATAAGAGTTTTATAGCTAGAATCTCGATATAAATATTATGAGGTATAAGAGTTTTATAGCTAGAATCTTGTATTCTACTAAATATAAAAGTTTGAAACTCAACGAGCTAATTATAAAAATTAGCTTTTGAATAAGTAGGTAGCTCATATGAATAAGCATATAGCTCATCTGATTTGAGTGAATAATGGGCCAGGTGTACGTTGGAGGAGATTTGTGTGATATTACAAAAGTTAGGGAGTGTTGATAAGAGGTAAACAATAGAGAATTAAATCTAATTTTAAGAAATTAGTTATGCATGTTGCATGCGATTCTGATTAATATGCTAATGTGATATTATGTGAATCATTTTGTCAGTGCATGTATATCTATATATGTGTGTGTATGCATGTGTGAGACTTCGCATTTTATGATATTTGATATACGTATTTAATCGTGTTTTGTGAATTTATGAAAAGGATGAGAGGTGAGTTGTCTCACCAGCCCTCTTCGGTAAATTCACTTATTTGACATGCTGCACACATATTGCACGGTTTATTGGATATGTTTTATGGATCTATCGTTTAGTCGGCGTGTGGGTGCTAGGTGAGGGCATCATCTGGGTTTAGGATATTCGACCTCGATGTACCGTAACACTTTGGTGATAGTGGACGGTATTAGTCGGACAACTGGGTGACTTAGTCGCACGGTCATTCAGGGATTAGACCCATTGTAGTTGAGACGTATTTGATCTAATCAGTCGTGTTTGGTGTTGTTCCACTCATTGGACTATGCACTGGTGAGGTCTACCGGTAATTTAGGATCATATGCCAAACTCCAAACGTGATCCCGTTAGGGCGCGCTAGAACGAGTAGAGTTTCCGGGTTTCTCTAGGGTGATTTCAAGTTGCACGGATTATACTACATTACACGGAATAGGGCTAGTCAGTGGGGGTCCTATCTTCGCTATCACAGACTATGGGGCGTCTTGTTGTTAATGGCGACAACGTTTGGCTATCCTTGTATTGATTGTGGGAGTCGTATGGTAGGTATATGGAAGTGACCGGATGACCATTATATTATTATGAGTTTATCAGGTCATTCCTTGAGCCGAGGATTTTTCGGCTATTTATTGATGATAGTCTAGTGAGCTTGTTATTACAGGGCTAAGGTTATTCCGGCTGCTCACTTTGGCGGATGTATATATATATGTGCATGTGCATTGTTGTTGAGTTTGATATCTTTGTTGCATCAGTTCACTATTGGCATGACATGACACGTATTTTATGATTGACGGGAATTAGACTTTATTTTAAAAGGCATGACATGAAATATTTCACGTTAGTTCTTAAAATGGATTTAATTCTAGACTGCTTTTAAGAAAAATATTAGGTTCAGGTATGCATGGCACCTCCGGGACAGGGGACGTCTCGGGATATAGAAAGACAAGCTGAGTGAGTGAACTTACATCTATTGTATTATATGTAAATTTTTAACCAGAAAAACCTCTTGTTTAGGAGTGTGTTTTGTAAATATTCATAAATCATATTTTGTTATATAATATTGCGCTTTTATGTCTAATTTTAGCCTTAACACTGTATTGTGGGGCCCGAAATAGGAGGTGACGATCTCATGATGCAGTGTGGCGGTAGCATTTCCAGTATGAGCCAACTGGGGGTGTTACAAGGCAGAATCCATGCATGCTTGCCTTAATAAAGGAAGATGCATATGTATGTGGTAGGAAAATCCATACATTAGATTGTGTGTGTTGTTGGAGTTTTGTGGAGTCTTTGTGAGGAAACTTTGTATCTAATTTTTTTCCGATCTCATAGTGGAACGTCCCTGGGTTGGTACCCCCCAAGACGTAGGTCGGTTAAAGGTCGAACTGATTCAACAAATGCTTGTGTGTTGTTTGCTTTGATGCACTCTGCACTACACTTCTTGTTGCTTGTTTGTTGTTTGAGTTTCGAGCAGACGACATTACTCTAAACTCAGCAAACCTTTTGAGTTTGAATTTCATTCTGCTACATCATTCAGAATTAATTAGGTTTGGACTTTAAGGTGTAGAAATACATCTTGTGGGACCGTCAGATCTTAAAACTTTCACAATAGTAACCTAGTTTGGTCTTTACTTGAATGGCTAGTATATCTAGTGTGTTTGTTTGGGAGTTTGAATTTTGGATTGAGATTTAAATAGTAAAAATTTTGAATTGAAATAGTTGTATAATGTGATATAAATAAGTATATAATATTTTGAATATAAAATTAAATTTTAGTATAATTAAAAAGAAAATAAAAAATAAGTTTTTGAGATTGAATGCTTTGGAGGGGGAGAAATTTATATGAATAATAAAAATTCATTAAAATTACTCAAACAAAAAATGAGTATGTAAGATCGGAGATAATACAATTTGTTAAGAATATGAGACTCCCTATGATACTTGCATGTTCTTCTTGAGCCACGGAGTAACTTCTACTTATGCTTACTTGACTCTCGTGTCAATAAGACTTTTTTTTTAATGACCAAATCAGCATTGAACTTATTAACGCTTTTGTCAAATAGTGAAATTGTGTTAAAACAATTCTTTATAATTATATACCTGTTTAGATCCTAAGAATTACATCGCCCAAACTCAAAATTTCCATGTCAATTTTTTTTTTTAATATTTATTTTGCCCGTATTATTGTTCAATTAATGTATATTATCATCATATCATCTATGTAAATACAGATTTTATTTTTTTTTAATATCAATTCATAGTAACCGCTCGTTGCACACTCATTGTGCTTCAAAAACATTTGACAATGTGATTTGATCAGATTTCAAGTATATCATTTATTTTGATGCTTGTTTAATATCTTAATAAAGCCTCGACCAATTTGCATGTCTTGCCTTCTTGCCTTTTTTATTTTATTTTATTTTTAATATCTCTAAAACTCATGCCCTTTCAATTTTATTGAGTATATGAATTGAATTTTTAATTATCATATGTATTATATATTTTCTGTGGGTGGGTTCAAATGTCGATTGGAAGGTTTTGTAATTGTTAGCTTTTTTTCAATATAATACTCCCTTCGTCCACCTGAATTTTGAATATTAATTATTATATCAATACGTAGTATAAATAAAAAAAAAGACAAAAATACATTTTTTTTAATCTCTTATGATACAAATACAATGATATTTGTCGAGTAAATTACTCAAATATAAAAATATTTTTAATATTAAATACAATGATGCAAAAAATAATATCGCCTTCGTCCCAAATAATAATATATGTTTGTATCCAAATAATAAATGTTTGTATTTAAATTTAATTTATTTTTTTAATTGAAAATAATACTCCCTTTGTCCCAAGATAATTAATCTCTTTAATTAATGAGACGATATTTAATAAAATGATATTTAGAAATATTTAAGTAGTTAATAATAGTTAGTTATAATATTATGTTATTATTTTTTATGCAAGTAGTAATATTGATAGCATTAAAATAAATTTAAAATATATGATTAAAAAATTAGAATATGTATTAAATATTTTATGAATTATATCGTAATAAAAAATATATATGCAATATAAATATCATTTTGTACAAAATAAAATTTTCTATAATACAAATAAATAAAAAATATTACTATTATTTATTTATAATTAAAATAAACTAGTTTTATAGAAGTTGTAGAGTTTTAAATGTAGATAAAAATATATATTTTTTTAAGGAATATATAAATAAAGGGGTTTTATGTGAGTTCTATATGATTTATCATGTCATAAGTTATGTAGTTAATTAAATTGATCTAATATTTGTTAAGTACATTTTGATTTAGTAAATTTTATCCAAACTAGAAAGGTTTCAATTTGTTATAGAGCACAAAAATAAAAAATATATCAATTGTTATGAGAGGGAGAGAGTATATGTTATGAAATTATTTAAGCAAATAAATCAACATACAAAAGCAAGTTGCATAATTAAAAAAGAAAAAACTATATAAAATATTGTATTGATAGAATTCAAATTACATATAACAAAATGCATAAAAAATATACAAATTACATTGACAAAATACAAAACATAAAATATTAAATAACTAATTTAATATGGAAGAATATCACCATTTTCATCTTCAACAATATCATTGAAATATTAAGAAAATATATTCGAAGAAGACCGTGAACTTGATTCTTGAAATTTCATTGTTCTTTTATGTAAAATTTTATTTTTTTTTAAATAGTAATAAACATGCTAAAGAGAATCAAAAATAATATTCAAATCCATATTCCTAATCTTTTCCTCACGTGTCATTATGCAAATTTTTCTGGTTCCAATTGCAAAAGTTTATATCTGTGTAAAGATGATTTTTGAAGCATTTTAAAAACCATTGAATTTTGTTATTTAACTTCACCAGTATGAACATTTTTTTTATCTTTACTTTTTTTTCTCATTGTTTTGTTTTTTTCGCCACCTTGGGACGCTCATATTTTGATATGCCAGGTGCCAATAAGGATATTTATATTTTAGAATCATCTCACTTATTTTCTAATCTTCTTTATAAATAAAAGTGTAATTTATAAATATAAAATGTTACACTATAAAATAATATAAAAGGGAAATATATAGGAGTTATACACTTTTAGTGAAAATTGAAGTTTATGAGGTATCTCCAAGTCATTATTCTATTTTTGCAGCATGTACATTAAATATGCAGTTGATCTGTCGTAATTTTACTCTGATCATAAATTTCACTTTTTACTCTAAAAAAAGTATATTTCTTATACATTCTCCTATTATATTACTTTAAATAGCTTTTTATATTTATAAATTACACTCAACTTGAATTTATTTTTAAATTATCACCCAAAAATATATAATTTATATTTTATTTCAAAATTCCATATATTATCACCCAAAGTAAAATTACACATTATTTTTTTAAAAAAATAAAATTACATATGTACTACTTTCCAAAACATAAAATTATGTATCACTTTAAAAAAATTATACTCCCTCCGTCCTAGAACTATAATATGGGTTGTGTTTGGCACGGAATTTAAGAAATATTGATATTACATTGACAGTGGATTAAAAATCCGGGTAAAAGACTTTTTTGCCATTGTGAATGTATTAGTGTAAAAAATAGTGGCAATTGTGTAATAATAATGAAAAAGTAAGAATAGTTTTATAGTGATATAATTATTTATGGAAATAAGACTATTGTTTTGGGACGAACAAAAATAGTAAACAAGACTATTGTATTGGGACGGAGGGAGTAGTACATTATTTAAAAAAAAAATTATAGATCTAATTTTAAAATATAAAATTATATACTCTCTCAGTCCCAAAAGTATTTTTTTTTACCATTTTCGTCTATCACACTTCATAATATCTGTTTCTTATTTTAATAAAAAGTAATACACGCTAATACCAAAATACTATTAACTTAATTATAAAAATATCATTTTACATATAATTACTTTTTATATAAAGTTAAGGATAAAAATGTCAACATTTTATATACACTTCTACTAACTAATAAAATTCTACTCCCTCCGTCATTCAAATCTATTCACTTTTAATTTTTTTTTTTTTTTGTCATCTAAATTTATTCTCGTTTCTTTTTTTTAGTAAAAAATTACAACTTTTCTTTAAAAAATAAAAATAAAAAATTTTATTTACATATTTTTTTTTAAAACTCATGTCCGATCAAATAAGCGACGGAGGAAGTGTTATTCTTTAATTTATTACAAAATCCTAAAGACTCATTTAGACTGGAAAAAAAAAAATTATTTTTTAAAAAATAAAATTATACAATACATCTAAACGGTAGAGTGTTACTCCAACTAACTTAAAAAAAATAGAAGATTTGGGATTGGCTTGGAGACCAAGTGCCCAAACCCTATTGTTGCCCATTGGATATGCTTTGATTTGGAGAAAAATCACTATGCTTTGATTTGGAGAAAAATCACCTTAGATCAATGTAGCTGTTGAAAAAGAGAGTAATGGGTAAAAATAAAACAGAAGGGAAAAGAAAAAAAAAATTGCACAAGTCATGCAAATTTGAAAAAGAAATGTTTTGAAATAGGAATTTGAGGTTGACATATAGTTGCAAAATAATGAGATCAAATTGTATCGTACTCGCTTCGTCCCAGATATTATGTTCACGTTGTCGTTTCTGTCCGTCCCACATATCACGTCACTTTCTTTTTATTGGAAAATGATTACACACTATAATTTCATTTTAAATTTTTTAATTTTATTTTTTTAATTTTAATTAAACTAATTAGATATCTTAATCTTAATTTATAATTATTTATATTATAAGATAATTATTTTCACTGTTACATTCTTAATTATTTACTAATTACATCCTTCCTAAAATACAGTGTCTACAGTGCAGCAGACACGGTATCTGAGACGGAGGAAGTAGTATTGTATCGCGCCTCAAACTAAAATTAGTACTATTGCGAAATGGTCTGGTGGTACGGGGAATAAATAGGGATGAACGAGTAGTATAGGAAATGAATTTGTAACTGTAAAGTCATGGGTTTAAAACTACGTCTCCAGGTTCATCTGTCACACATGATTTACTTAATGTGATTTATTAGGATATTAATTTTGACCGAAGGTTTACCAAGTGCGTGCTTTCGGACGAATTCCCGTGTTTAAAAATAAAAAAAAAAAAAAAAATTAATACTGTTGCTGTTGCGAATCAAACAGCATGTGAGAGCCTGCGGTGTGCTGTGCACAATTCAGAAACGAAACGGCCTCAAAAACACCTCTGCAACCAGATGCAGATTACACATACAGAATTACAGATACAGTACGGATCACCGCTCCGCATTGTACGAACTGGACCGTTTCAACGACACTAACTCATCTTTCTTCGTCTCCGCCAAGCTACCGCTGAAATATTCTTTCTCCTCCAATTTCACTCCCCCACCGCCACCGCCACCGCCGCCGCGTCGGATTTTGTACTGCGGGATCAACCCCTGCCCCGCCCTACAATCCTTAAACGAAATTGACCCGCAAGTTATTAACTGCATAAGAACCGACGTCGATTTACCGGCAATCGGCAGCGGAGGAGGAGGAGGAGCAGGAGTCCTCTGAATTTTATTGCCGCCGGAACCGGAAAGATCACCTTGGCAGGTATGGGGAAACACCCGTCCTTCGGCTTTCATCAGCTTTTCCAGGGTTTCCGGACTCGAATCCGACGGCGGCGGGGAGATCGAGATCTCGATCTCGTCTCGCGGCGCCTCCTTCCTTTTATTCTCCTCCTCCGCTATCTCCGGATGCTGCCGGAGCCGGCGCCGGCGGATGTCATCCGTCTGAGTAGAGGCGTCCGCAGCGGCTGATCGGCCGGAGAAGGACTCCGCCGTCTTGTATACGCTGTACTCTTCCTCCACGGAGAAGTCGATCGAGCTGCAGGACTGGTTCCCCCGCCGCGACCGGCGATCGGATTTTTGAATCTCCGATTCCTGTTGCTGTCGAGGCGGCGCCGGCGCCGGCGGAAGCAACGATCCTTTGAGTACGTACTCGTTGCCGTGCGCCGGGTAGATGAAATCGTCCTCCGCCAGATCGTGCCACACAAATCCATTCTTATAGCTCCTAAATAATTGAAATTCAAAACTCAAGTAAACCTCAGAAGAACAGAAATGGAAGAAGAAGGAAGGAACATTAGAAATAAGAAAAACACCTTTTGGAAGACCATGAATACAAAGCCGCCATGCCTTTTCCACGAACAACATTCAATCGGCAAATCACATCTTCTCCCCAAAAACAAATTACATGAGATCAACTATTCCAATCCAACGATTCAAAAACCTAACAAAATAATTAATGCAGAGAATTGATACTATAAATTAGTTAATTAATTGATCTCACCTCGGAGGAAGAGACCGGAGTGAGGACACGAAAGAGGAACCTCGACGAAATGAGGATGTTCAAGGTGACCATTTCTGGACAAATAGTAAACAACAGCAACAGCTCGAGGCAGAGGAGGCTTGGAGACGGCGAGTTGATTTAAACTTCTCTGAGGACTAATTTCTGACCTCACCGCGACCTGCGTCTCGGAGAATCTTCCAGAGCGAGAGGCCATAGCCGGTCAAAATGGAATACCTTCACCTTCACCTTCACCTTCAACTTCAAATTCAAATTCAATTGGGCATGTGTGCACAGTACATATGGAGGGAGGTCACACAGACAGCAGTGTGAAAGGGGGAAAACGAAGGTCGGTGGGGAAGAAAGAGTAGGAGGCTGTTCTGTTCTGTTCTATTCGGTTCAAATATGGTGGATTCGGAGACTGACAACAGCTAGCCACCAAATAATGAGAAAACAAATATGAGCGGCTCGGCTCGGCTCGGCTTTGGTTTTGAGTACATTTTTGTAGGTTACGTTGAGAGGGGAGAGAGTCGTATTACTTGATTTGAGGGGGGTGGAAGAATCTGGATGCGTATCGGCCCCCCCATTTTTAATACGCTAATCCCCCAACTTTCGCTTATTTCCTTTTTTACATCCCTTGCTTACATTACATGGCCTCCTATACGTTACCTATTTCTCTATATATATATTATATATGTTCTTTTTATTGTTTTAGATTTTATAGGATTTTTTCTTATAATTTATTGAAATCTGAAATAATTTGATCAAATTAAATTAGTATATGTTATTTATGATATATATTTTTTATTTATTTTATTATATACACGTTTTTTTTTTTTTTAAATAATTGAACTATTGAGTTTATACTTAAAATTTTTGAAGTATAATTTTAAAAATATTTGTATTTATTCTTTACATTTTATAAAAATTAATCATTATTCATTTTAGTTAATCATTAAAAGAAGAAAAAAATGTATACTCATATGACTTTTAACAAAAATGAGTAAAGATAGAAACTATTTTCTTATAATAAAAAAACTAGACTTAAAAAAATAAAAATAATTTTTATAACAACAAAAAAAAAATGGACATAAATTTTGATAACAGAGAGAATATAAAACAGAGTAAATATACTTTGAATGAATTTATTTTATTATTAGATATGGATAATCATATTGATAATATAAAAAATAATATTTATTTATTAAATTATTCATTTTTTATGAATAAATAAAATATATATTATATATCGTATATAATTTTATTTATATTTAAAAAAGTTTATCAAAACAGTTAATATAGTTATATGAACATACACCGTTTTGTAAGAAAAATATAATCTGTTAACGCAACATTTTTAAATATATTTATTTTTTTTATGTATGATATAGAAAATTGTGTTAGAAATATAAAATATATAATTTTAAATTGACTATTTGACTTTTTTATTTTTGTAAGTATTTGAATGTTTTAATGGCTTTTTGACTTTTGTAGATAGTATTTTATGTTGTTTACTATTATTTTTTGGGAATCACAATTAAGAAATAATATTGAGAGATCAAAGTGAATGTCTTTTTGTTAAAAGTTATGCATAAATATGTTATTTAAAATGTTAGAAATTTAAAGTAAACACAACCACTGGTATTGTCAAAATTCAAATACCGACATCTCCAGATTTTCTCTGTCACACATTGTTCGCTTCCTAGTGTGACTTATCTTGTCGAACTTAGTCGGCAGATTATTAGATTCAACCGAAAATTTACTCATAGCGCGCCCAAAAAATAAATCCTACATTTTTTTAGAAATATAAAATTATATTAGAAATGACATGACACACTATTGCTAATTTTTTGTTATTCTATTTAAAATGAAAAATAGAACATATTTATTACAATATTTTTTAAAAAAAAAAAAAAAACATAAATCATTTAATGCGCTGGAATAACCGAAATATGATATAAATGTTCGTTAAAATTTGTAAATTTTAGATTTATATATGTAAGCGAAAATATATTTAATATTATAGCAATACGTAATAGCAGTAAATGAATTCTGTTGGCAGCGGGGAATTCTTCGGAGATAATTCATTGTTACCCATACACGTCAAAGCAAACACACAAAACTACGCAGGTTAGGGGGCAGTTGACCATAACCCCTAAAATATAAGATTTTTTTAGTGTAAAAAATAATAAAATTATATATTTTTTTATTATTTTGTCCTCCTAATTTTTTTTAATATTATCGTGTAAAAAATAATAATTTTTTGTAATTTGGTTGATTTATACTTTTAAGTTTTAATTTTTTTAATAGAAATTGTTGAATTTTTTTAAATTTTCTTAAAATTTTCTCAAAAAGTTTAACTTTTAGCTATTTTTTTTGTTTGTTCAGTCACAATCGAAAAAAATTGAAAGAGACAATATTAAATAAAAAAGAAAAAGGAAATTGATATTTTGCCCCTCCTAAGTTTTAGGGCTGATTCTAAATTAAAAGAATTCTCTAAAATTATTTTTGTAGCTCATTTGTAAATTACTATCTTATTATTGAATGCAAAGAATTTTTAAAAAGTTAATAATAATTATAGGATTTGATAAAAGAACATAAAAATGAAGGGATGGGGTTTGTTTCTTGTGGTTTTTTTTAAAAAGTAAACGACAACCTTGCACCGGGACGGATGGAATATTAATTTTTTTTTAAAAAAAAAATTAATATTCCATCCGTCCCGGTGCAAGGTTGTCGTTTACTTTTTACACATAAATTTTTGAATATTAGTATTATAATGAGTTGTAATGAAAAAGACGAAAATGCCCCTATTAGTATTATATAATATAAAAGTAATGGTATTTGTGTAATATAGTATAAGTTAGAAGGGTATTTATTATGTTAGGGAGGTAATACAATTACTAAATTAGGAAATGATAACCTTGTTTTGAAACCGACGAAAAATGAAAAATGATAATTTTTCAATAACACGGAAAGACTATTATTCATAATTTTCAATAAAAACTAAATATTTTTATTTATAAAATATTATATTAAAATATTATTTAAATAAAAATATAAATTAATGCATCATTTAAATTTATTTTAAATTATAACTAAATAAACCCTTAGATGACGACGAGCTCAAATAGTATACAAAAAATAGACATGCAATAGATGATCTCCAGTTAGGGTGCGTTTGTTGGGAGTTTGGATTTTGAGTTGGGATTTGAATAGTAAAAATTTTGAATTTGAATAGTTATATGATGTGATATAAATAGGTGTTGATGTGATATTTTGAATGTAAAATTATTTTTTAGTATAATATAAAAAATAAAAAATAGGTGTTTGATTTGATGTTTTTGGGAAAAAAAATGAGATGAATAGTGGATTGAAAATCCAATCCTCCAAACAAACACACCCTTAATACATGTGCGTTGTTAACTGAATCGAAATCATACGATGAGTTCACAATTTAAAATATATGTTGTATGAATATATATTATATTTTTTTTAATAATATATATATGTATACATATATTAATATCTGTACGGGATCTAAGTAAACTAATTTTATGGGAGGAACAGAGTATATAATTTCAAATTCTTGGGTTGTTCAATGGTTAGTTTTGTATGTTGTCGGAAATTTCAATTGAATAGATATTATTTGATTGATAGTTAGCTTTACAATCCAATAGATAGATATATTTAATATTAATATTATTTTTACAAAATAAAAAATATATTGAAAAATATATATTTTGTTATTTTTGTATGTTCAAATACAAAATATATATTAGTAAATCTGACCTCATTATATAAATTTATATTTATTTATCACAATATTTTATGTGAATATTTTATAGAATAGTTTGGAAGAGATATCTTTATATGAAGTATAGAAAATTTTGTAAATAATAAAAAAATGATAAAGATATGTAATATATTAATGTTTTGGACAAAAATATTAAGAGTTTTTTTCTTTTTTGACCAAACAAACAAATCCAAAGTCTTTACAAACAAAAAATACTCACTAACTACTTATCGAATCATCAAATTTGAAGATTATTAGGTTCGGCTGGGGTTTACCCAAACTTGCATTCGAAATCATGGTTGTGGGTAAAAAAAAAAAAAAAAAACCAACTAAAATTTAAATAAAATTGGGCGAGTTTGCTTAGTTTTTTGTTGTTTTATAAATGAAATACTAATTGGTGTAATATTTATGAGAAACTATTTATTTTAATAGGGAGCTATGTGTATTTGAAAAATTAAATTAAATATGTTTTTCAAACTCTGTGCAAATATAAATATAGACAATGTTTGTTTTGCTTTGTTTGCATTTGAATTTGAATTTTTTATTATTAAAATTATAATAAACACATTATTTTTTTTTATATAAAGAATCCAATTCAAATATAATCGGAACAAAGCTTGTAGCTGTATGTAGCTTTGGTATTGAATAAAATAATTCAAAAATTGGTCAAAGAGCTGACTAATACTTCCTCCGTCTCATATATCATGTCCATCTTTTTATTTTTGTCCGTTCCATTTATTTTGTCATTTTTTTTTAAAAAAGAATTATACACTTTAATATTATTTTAAAATTTTAATTTATAATTTTTTAATTTTAATTATACTAATCAATTATTTTAATTTTAATTTATAATTATTTTTATTATAAGATAACTATTTTTACTAATATATTTTTAATTGTTTAATAATTACATTTCTTTTAATTAGGACAAAATATAGGAGATAGAAAAAGTATAATATGTAGCTCTAAAGAATTCTTAAATTATTGTTCAAATGGTCTCACCTAACATTGACAATTGCCCAAAGCAAAGCTGACCCGGTCATCACGTTGCTCTCGTCAAATTATTTAGACTCCCATCCGCAGCAGTGGGACCTACAACACCGCATTGGTTGACTGGCAACCTGCTATCACCGTCACATCAGCCTGGACGGTCCAGATTGTCTTGTACTTAATTGGGTGTTCAGATGATCAGCCATCTACCGTCCATTTTTTAAGATAATTGAAATCGAATCGTCGCAGATACGGCTGCTGCTCTAATTCATTCCAAAAAAAAAAAGTAAAAAACCTCTACGCACGTGTTTGTTTTCTCGCTGCAAATTAAAGGATGTTTTTCTTTTGAGTTAGGGCATGTTTTTTTACACATCAAATCCTATTTGTTTTTTACTCTATCCGTCCGCGAAATTAGTCGGATTTCTTTTTAACGTAGAGTTTAAAAAAGTTTAATTGATATAGTTATTAGTGTGATTAGTTAATGTGATATATATAATAAAATATTATTTTAATTTTTTTTTTGAAATATTGAAATAAAAGTTGAAATATTTTTTATTTTATTTTATTTTATTTAAATTTTATGTTTTATTTATTGAAATTGTTTTATTTTAAAAAATATTATTATATTGATTGTAAATTATGCAATTAGATAAAAAAAATTAATTGTAATAATTTAAATACAAATAACAGCCGTAATACTAAAATTTTTAATATAAACAAAA